TGGAGACTGGCTAGGTCACTCCAGGACCTTAATGTTCTTCTTCTTGAGCCACTCCTTTGTTGCTTTGGCCGTGTATTTTGGGTCATTGTCATGCTGGAATACCTATCCACGAGCCATTTTCAATGCCCTGGCTGAGAGAAGGAAGTTCTCACCCAAGATTTGACGGTACATGGCCCCGTCCATCGTCCCTTTGATGCGGTGAAGTTGTCCTGTTCCCTTAGCAGAAAAACACCCCAAAAGCATAATGTTTCCACCTCCATGTTTGACGGTGGGGATGGTGTTCTGGTCATAGGCAGCATTCCTCCTCCTCCAAACACGGCGAGTTGAGTTGATGCCATAGAGCTCCATTTTGGTCTCATCTGACCACAACACTTTCACCCAGTTGTCCTGTGAATCATTCAGATGTTCATTAGCAAACTTCAGACGGGCATGTATATGTGCTTTCTTGAGCAGGGGGACCTTGCGGGCGCTGCAGGATTTCAGTCCTTCATGGCGTAGTGTGTTACCAACTGTTTAATTGGTGACTATAGTCCCAGCTGCCTTGAGATCATTGACAAGATCCTCCCGTGTAGTTTTGGGCTGATTCCTCACCGTTATCATGATCATTGCAACTCCACGAGGTGAGATCTTGCATGGAGCCCCAGGCCGAGGGAGATTGACAGCTCTTTTGTGTTTCTTCCATTTGCGAATAATCACACCAACTGTTGTCACCTTCTCACCAAGCTGCTTGGCGATGGTCTTGTAGCCCATTCCAGCCTTGTGCAGGTCTGCAATCTTGTCCCTGACATCCTTGGAGAGCTCTTTGTTCTTGGCCATGGTGGAGAGTTTGGAATCTGATTGATTGCTTCTGTGAACAGGTGTCTTTTATACAGGTAACACGCTGAGATTAGGATCACTCCCTTTAAGAGTGTGCTCCTAATCTCAACTCGTTACCTGTGTAAAAGACACCTGGGAGACAGACATATTTTTGATTGAGAGGGGGTCAAATACTTATTTCCCTCATTAAAATGCAAATCAATTTATAACATTTTTGACAAGCGTTTTTCTGGATTTTGTTGTTATTCTGTCTCTCACTGTTCAAATAAACCTACCATTAAAATTATAGACTGATCATTTCTTTGTCAGTGGGCAAACGTACAAAATCAGCAGGGGATCAAATACTTTTTTCCCTTACTGTACGTCGTCGGTTTCAGTGATCCTAAACGCCGCGGTGCATGCGAGGGATGCGCGCTGCGCCCGTGCCCTCCGCATCCCCAATGCCCTCACACTTCCAGCTATGCGCCCCATCTTGCAGTTGCCACAGAGAGCATCGCATCGCACGGCGCGTCGCTGTTTACGCCACCTGGCCCTGTGCGTCTCCGTCACGCACGCTCTCCGAGGGGGGCCCGGGCATCGAGCGTCATCGCGCGATGCATCACGAGTCTGCTCGATCGACGGAGCGAGGCCTCGTGCCGGGCCCATTCCCCTCGCTACTCTGCATTACTCCCCCAAGGTCGTGCCGACACATGTTTGCGCGGATTCCCTATTGTGCTACGCTTGGCAGTGCGCTGGCTTTGTCACTTTGCATGGCTCAGTTATCTGACACCGTGCTGCCTCCTCGACTTTGTGCCACCACATTTTTAAACTTGAGCGTGGACGACAGGGCACGTAGTATCGAGGCAAGGCAGCATCCTTCCTCGGCAAGGATAGGCGAGTGTTTCGGAACGGAAGAACACCCTCGGAGTATTGCTTACTCGTCAATGTGTAGCGTACAGGCTGTCACATCTCATGAGGCCGTTGTAAGTTATCAAGCGACCTGGTGATGTTTGTGTGAGTGAGCATCCCTCCCGTGTATTTCTGGGGTTGAGAAAAGAGGAGGGCTCGTGTTGCAAAATTTTTCTGACCTTTGGGGAAGGGGACTCAGTGCTGATTGTGGAGACCAGAGACTGTGACTCTTCATGCGGCAGGGAAGAGGAAACGTTGGAGCGGGGAGAGAGGGTGGAGAGGGGGTGGAGAGAAACATTGTGAGGGTAGAGGTGCAGATGCAGACGCCGTTTCGCAGGGAGAGACAGTCACAGGCACCGCCCTTTCTGGATCTGGCAAGCGGAAGGTGCCAATAGCAAGGTGCTGAGTGGGATCAACGAAATTAGATGCGATGACCTCGTAACCCTGACCGTGCGTGCCCGTGTCACTCGTGTGCAGAGTGTGATTGGCCAGTCCTGGGCAGAGGTGACAACTCATCGCTTCTCATGGCGCTGCTGGGTTGGTTAAATTTCCCACTGAGTTGGCATTTCCACGTGCTGCTGAACTTGGTGAAAGGAAAGAAAATCTTTCGGGGCTTTGATTACCGCTGCTAATGAGTGTTTGCAGAGAGCGGATTCCGCTCACCTCAAGCGACCTGGTGAGGATTTGGATTAATCGACCGCGTGTTTATGAGGTTGCTTAGAAATGCGAAAAAAAACCAATAATGACATGGAGGCGGGTAGATTAGGTCGACGTCCCTGTGCCAGGTTAGGAGCAGCAGCATCATTGTCAGAGTTCCCTCCATAGTGCCACAGAAGCCTGCGAGGGAAAACGTGGGCGAGGTTGCAGATTATGAAAGTTTGCCAGTGGCAAATATAACTCGCTCCTGATGTTAGCTGTGGCTGGGAATCTAACCGACGTTGCCAGGTTTATAGCAGTGCACCGATGCCACCACTCCGCACGCCTGTATGTGTGTCTGCGGTTTCTGTATAGAAATTACATAAAGACTTTGTGACATCACGTGCAAGAGCATACCTTTGTGTGCCAGTGTTCAAGCACAAGTCACAGATTTGAAGATCACAAACACTTGTTTGTTTTTGTAATGACCTCGTCTCATTGCATGCCCGCCCAATCGAGTAGAGGACATTCGCCGCTAAGCGAAGCGCGACCTCTCCGCTGTGCACGGCACCCCCGCTGGCCACCTGTGACGCGGCTTCTGCCACCACTGGCGGAAAATGTCACGTCGGTCTCACGTCGGTGACGGGGAGGACAGGAAATGATAGTGAGACGATTGTCTTCTGTTCATGAAACAAAGCGGTGATGCAACGGGGCGGGAGACGTCTGGTGGCTCTGTGCGTCGTGCCGCCTGGCTCTCCGAGTCCTACGTGTGCGCGTGTGCGTGCGCGCACGTGCTTGTTATGCAGGAGCATTGTTTTTGATGGGGGGAGACAGGGTGGAGTTTGGGTTGTAAATGTCGTCGCGCGCTCACACTTGGCGTAACATATCTGCCGCGCCTCGAATTCTGGAAATTAAACAAAACGAGTAAAATGAGCACGTATGTTCTGATAAATGACGGCCATCCAGGGAATCGCGTTTTGTCCAGAACACAATGCCGCATCCTGCTTTTGTGCCACGTGCTCGCGTCGAACACGGTGCAGCACATCATGGTTTTCATTATTTTCGTTCTGACAAAACCCGTCCGGGTTTCCAGCGGTGGTCTTTGAACGCTGTGTTGTATTCCTGCTCGCGATGGGCTCGAGTCAGGCTATGGCTCACGTAGTCTCGCACTTGGGAGATTGTTGTATTATTTTATATTTTTTGTGACTTATTACCGCAAGTTCAATCACAATTGCGCCATTGGGACCAGTACACCGAGCGAAGAGTTCCTCTCCGGATGTTGCGGAATCGCCTATTTCTTTGTGGCCAAAGCCAAAAGTGACATCACTAGTCTTCACCTGGGATCCTACAATGCCATGGCTTACATAACTTCTCTTTGAGCGAGTCGTTTGGGAATCGTCAAGTTAAAATTGAAATGTCTACAAGCACGATTACAACACAGCTCTGTGGAGCCATGAGTGAGTGTTCTGTGACTATCACCTTCAAGCACGGCCTCCCATGTAGGTCACCTTCACCAACCTGCACTGCACTGGGGAGTGTGGGTTGGTGAAGGCGGGGAGCATAGAAGTATAGTACACTAATAGATTTTGCTGCACTGCCCTCTGATGCTCACAACCCCAAAGCCTATAATACCTGTTTTGCATGGTGATCTAAGCACTGTAGAGTCTCAATGCAGTTTCAATTCCGAAATCTGACAAAGTCAGATGCATATCAGGCGATTTTCTCTAGGTCGTACGTACACACACATGGATACACGCACGCACGTGTATACATACGTACCTATCAATCTTAACACAGTGTTATAAAAAGCAATTCTTCATCGCCACCTCTATAGGAGTATTCTTAGTGAGGGCCTTGTTTGCCAGCGTAGCCTGGGCACCTCCTTGCTTGCAAGCTCCAAGAGGCCAGTTATCTGACTCTGCTGTATAAATCCGGTCCTGCAGTGTCCCTTTCATGACAATACCACAGAGATACCACTTCATGCCTTAAGTATTTCACCCAACAGAGGCCCTCAACGGGGGTCTTCGCCAGGCCCTGTGGCCACCTCAAGGCCCGCGATGCAGCCCCACGCCCTAACGTGAGAGTGGGGCACCTCGCAGGAGGTACACGCAGCTGATGCCAGCAGCTGATGCCAGTATGAGCCCCTGGGTAATAAACACGATGACGATGCTGTGCAACGCGACCCGCGACCCAAAGCCACTCACTCCGCTATGCCGAGGGCACCGAGTGGTGGTCCACGGTGACCGAGTGAGAACCCGGTTTCACAGCCAGGTCCTCCACGGTGCCAGGGCAGGGCTCTGATGTGGGGGAGGCGTCACTCTTCTTGGGGATGCAGCTTCGTCCGATGCTCACGATTCGGGTTAGGGCCTTGGGGAGGTGGATCGCAGTATGAGTAAGGAGTAGAAGTTTTGTTTGGGTTAGGATCGGAGTTCCGAGTGGATTTTTTTCCCATGTGGGTGTTCATCGGGTTAGGGTTAAGAGTACGGTTAAGTTTGTCGTGAAGGGTTGTGTGACATTACGATTAAGAGTGATGGCAAGACTGTTGCTGGGTTACGGTGAGGGCTATAGTCACGAGGTTTGTGTGAGTATAGGGTGTGGCTGGGTCGCTATTATGGTCGTGTGTGTGGCGGCAAGGTGACCAAGTGGTGCACGTTCCCCAGGTTCCGTGTGCAGATCCCAGCTACGGAAGTGCCTCGTATCGCGCATCGGCGAGGACTGGATCTTCCTGCTGCTTCTCGGCCTTGTCATGGCGCTAGTCAGCTGGGTCATGGACTTTGCCATCTCTAAGAGTCTACAGGGTGAGTACGAGAGTGGGCGCGGGCTTACTCTGCTACTCACTCGCTCACCAGCTCACCCACATATGCATCTGCCCACCAACTCCCCCATCTTCTTGCCGCTTGCTCGCCTGCTCACCAAACACTCAAATGCGTGTCCGCCAGCTTATCTGTTCTCCTACCTGTCCATATGCTTGCCCATTAACCCCCTGCTTGCCCAATCGCTTGTCAGCAAGCTCAGCTGCTTGATCACCTGCACACCTACTTGCTCATCTACCTGTCTCCTCCTACCAGCCCATCTCTTGCTGGGCCGGAGAGAATAGTCCAGAAATGATTTGCCGCGGCATCACCGGTTGTGCCACGCGTGTCTCCGCGTGCAGCTCACATCTGGATGTTCCGGCAGCTTGACAACAACTTGATGCTGCAGTATCTGGCGTGGGTCACCTACCCCGTGGTGCTCATCACCTTCTCTGCCGGATTCTGCCAGATCGTCTCGCCGCAGGCTGTTGGTCAGTGCGATGGGACATGGGTGGGGGTTTGAATCCCAGGCTTCTGGTAGCGGCACGAGTATTGGTAGCACGTGGGCGACCGCCACACATAGCAGGTGCTCTACGCTGTGGGGCTACGTGGTGGGCAGCATTGTTGTACTCTACTTCTATGCTCCTGTGTCTACGCTCCCCACCTTCACCAACCCCCACTGACTAACGTGGTGAAGTATGGGGTAGGTTTATTAAAGTGGGCGCGACGAAGCTCAGGTTTGTTTCTATATAATTTGTCGTTGCTGTAGTTGAGCCGTGTGCGGTGGTGGCGGTGCACAGCTCTGATCCAGCTTTTTAAAGGCGAGGGGTTGGTGGATGAAGGAGAGATTCATGAAACGTCCAAGGCCACGAAGCTTCCAGCTCGCCATGAGATGGCAGTACAGCATGTGGGTTCGTGGGGCCAGCTGTGCAGACCTACGAGTGCTGCCCTCTCGTATGTGTGGGGTTTCTCCAGGGCACTAGTTTTCTCCCTTGAGGTGAGGTCTTCTCCCATATAAAAAACACTCCTTGGAATGGAATTTGACAAACATTCCAATGGAAGAGTCTCTTTCCTGGATAAATAAATCATATTACTAATATCAATCAAATATTGGAGATGATATTCTTTGGGTCTTTCGGAGATGATGTGAGCTGGGAGTTGGTGAGTACTGGAGGTGGTGTGTGATTGACGACGTGGGGAGTATTGGAGATGGTGTGTAATGGAGAAGACGTGTGATGAAGGATTTCCCGCACCTCCAATTAGCACGGGTGGTTCGTAGAGTGCAAAAGAAGCTCAATATAGGTACATTGAGTGCGGGGTTGATGTGCAGGGGGTGCACTGTGAGTTCCAACAGTGCCCCACATCAGCATGGGAATCATTGACAAGATTTAATGTTTTCATATTTTTAATTGCAATTCTTCTTCAGAATATATTTGCTTTTTAATTTGTACGTACTTAAATATATGTCATTGTTTGTTGTAGGGGGCGATGATTGCCTCTATGTGTATTATCCCAATTTTGTAATTTTGCAGGTGATTTTTTTCTTTTGTTATATGTGGACCCTACACAGGCCTACTCTTGTGAATAACGTCAGGGGATTTTTAACGTCTACTGTGAAGCGTAGTGTTGTTGTTGTTATTGCTCCCATAGTATTGACCAGGGCGGCCGTTGGAATTAGAACCATGAACCTCTACAACAAGCGGCGAATGTGTTAGGGCTAGGCCGCGTCACCGCCCCCATGTAACGTGGAGTGGCATGCGGATCGCTCCCAGGCTCCGGGATCCCTGAGATGAAGACGATCCTGCGGGGTGTGGTGCTCAAGGAGTACCTCACTCTCAAGACGTTTGTGGCCAAGGTGGTCGGCCTCTCCTGCTCCCTGGGCAGCAACATGCCGCTCGGCAAGGAGGTGAGGCCAATGGGTCGCGTGCCCGGCCAGCGGGCGACCGCATGGAACTGTGGGACTCGGGGGTGGCTCATGGCAGCACTGGTACAGAGGGCGCAGATGACACCGTCGGTACAGGAGGGGCACATGGCACCATTGATATAGGGCAAGGATCTTCAATTCTATTTTCCCATGAGCCACGTAAGATCATGGTGTAACCAACGTGCATAATGTACATTAAATACACTACAATATATTATGTTGTACAAAATGTATATTCAGTGACTAAAAGGCTGTTATACAGTGTAATGGGACAAGCGTTGACAGGGTGACGTGGTGAGGGGAAGCACGGGACCCATGAAGTGTAATAAGGGCGGAGGCAGGGCCAGGTGCGGTGAGCGAGAGTTCCGGAATAGGGGCGTGTCCGGGGCGTGTGAGGGCCCGGACCTGGGGGCTGTCGTCGCCTTGGAACGGGTCGTCCTCATCATCCTGGGGTGGGCGCCGTGTAATCTGACGGTGTCTCTGAGAGCTACATTACACATATTATAAAAACACACTTGAAACACTGAGCGTGCAGAGTGCTGCACCAGGCACATCGCCGAACGTCGTCGCGAGCGCCTTTAAATTGACCGATCACGCCGCTGTTAACCCACACGACAGATAGCGAGGGAGGAGGCGGTAGCGGATGAGTGAGGATTGACGCGTGACCGCGGAGCGATGCGCGGCAGCTGCAGCCACAGCTGTGTTGGGATTGGATGATGTTGAGACGACGCGGGGCACAGCGCTTAGCTGTCGGGACCTCGATAATCAACTTTCCAGCACCAGCTGCCAGATGCTCGAGCTCTTTCCACTGCATAGCTCTGCCTCACTACTTCCAGCACACATCTGTACAGAACTCGTTAATACAGCACCAATACAAAGCTCATTAATAAAAGGCTCACGAATACAGCACGTATCAACACAGCACTAATACCATGCAAACTAATACAGCACTGGCAAATACAGCACTCCCCGAGGCAGTGATAATACAGAAATAACTCATACAAAGCTCACGAATACAAGTCACTAATAAAAAGCTCGCTGGTACAGCACACGCTAATATCATGTTCACTAATACAGTTCTCATGAACACAGAGCTCAGGAATACAACAGTCACTAATAAAAAAGCTTGCTGGTACAGCACTTGAATGTCCCTGATCCCGTCAGATATTGGAAGTTAAGCAGGATTGAGCCTGGATATCTCTTGGTTCCATGACCACCAACACACATGGACACATTGTCATAGGCTGCTACTGCTGGGACACGTGGTAAGCCGCATTATTGTACTGTCCTGTGCCCCCCATCGATGCACATCGCATAGCGGTGGACTGACACCCGGGCCTGTGCTCGTCTCGCCAGGTGCTGTGCCGATGTCGTTGTCGTGTCTCGCTGACGAACCTTTTCCTCTCCATTGTGTCCGCAGGGCCCCTTTGTTCATGTCGCCAGCGTGTGCGCCACGCTGCTCAGTAAATTCATGTCGTTTTTCGGCGGCATCTACCAGGTGAGCTCGCCCACTGTGTGTCAGGTTAACCCGACGTGAGCGCCGACCACCCCCCCCCCCCCCCCCAGCATCAGCTTGCATAACTCTGGACGGTCCACGTTAATGAGCCCACTCCAGACAGCGAGAAGCCCCATCGGCTCGTAAAACTGTGTGCGCAGCACGAGAGCAAATGTATTCTACTACTAAAGGTATCGTAGGTGATACCCACAAAGCCATGCAAGCCGTGTCAGGGAGTTTACCGATTGACAGCGGTAGCCACGTGGTGACGACTGCCGGCCTGGTGTGCGCACGCGTGCTCATGTGCAAACAGCTCAGCGTCCCGAGGACTGAAGCGTGCCACGAGATGTCTGTCTGGACGCTGTAACAAGTCATTATTGCGTTAACGTGTGTGTTGCTGCTGCCTGTGAGCGCACGCTTGTGAATGTTGTGGGGGCGTCGTTACTGAGCACACGGATGGGAAGCTCATTCATCACAGCTGTACTGATGATTTGAAACATTAAAAAGGCCACACCTGCAGTCGGAGCTGGTGATCTGCTTAGGGCAGAGAGCTTAACGAAGCAGGCGGAACAAATTGAAACATGCAACGTAAACGAGACGGTGCAAACTTCATCTCGTGCAAACAACGGCACAGCCAATACAAATTGGACATACAAAATGAAACAAAAAATGTATTCATATTCTTTGGGTCTTTCGGTAAAGTCACGTAGATAGATTTTAAAAAAATGAAATAAACCAAAAAATACGACGTTTTGATCACAACACAAGCGATCGTCATCAGGAGGAACCTATCTACGTGACTTTACCGAAAGACCCAAATAATATGAATTCCTGCAGTCACGAAAGCTTTAAGTCAAGAAAAAAGTTATCATTTTTGTAATTGAATTACTACCCCAAATGTGACCACTCATGGACTCGCTGGCTGGGAGGTCCTGTTCACGCGCTCGTTGGGCACATTCCTCGTGTGGACCACGGCGGCTCTCCTCCAGTCCAGGAGACGGAAGAGGATGAAACTGTGACTCTTGAGCAGTTCGAACCCCATCCTCGCAGATGTCTAACCCACACTTGCCGGTGCATTGTTCGCGATGGCGACCTGTCGTCGTCCTTTTCAACGAGGGCATGCATCTTCCATCACCCGCTATCTGGCCGAACCTCTCCGGCGAACTCACGGCGTCCGCGCGCCATGAAACACGGTGATAACTTCACGGCCGATGACTCCTCCGATCCCTCGAGCACACACGGAGCGGGGCTCGTGCCAGCGGACGCCGCTGTGCGGCGCGAACGCTTGCCCCATGTCGGGCTGTGGCCGCTTGGCGGCGCGGCTTTGTGCCAGCACGCACCCGAGCCAACGCGTTCTCCAGCTGCTACCGCACCGCTGTTAAATTAGGAGTGTCAACGATACGAGAGTGCGTGTGGCGCACACCCAGCTCGGGGGTTAAAAGAAACTTTTCACTTGAGTTTTGTAAACAGTTTCGCTGCGAATAGAAAATAAATAGCGCTGAGTGCCCTGTTTAATTAAATAGAGCAATTGTTTCACCTAGTGCCTGGATTTTATAAGGTGCAGCTCACGTGATTTAAATGGCTCCGTTTCACAGCCAGAGAAGTTTCTTGAAAATGCGAATGAACCGCAGGGTACATCCCGCGGCTGTCGGCGACGCATTGATGCGGCGCCGCTGCTGGCACGAGGGCGCGGGCAGTGGAGGCTGAGCTCCTTCACCCTTGTTAGGGGCTTAATGACAGCGCAGTCCTTTTCACATGACAGCCCTGGGCATCTCTCTGAAGACACGATAATGCAATACCCGGGCTATTGGCAGCCTCGCCGCCACAGCCCGTGGCAGGTGCGCTTGTCGTGGTGATACAATAGCGATGCAACTCCGTGGTCGTTGCACGGTTAAGCGATTGTAGAGAGAGCGTGCGAGAGCGAAACAGAGAAAGTGGCGCTGCTGGTGAACGTGAGGTGCAGCTTCTCGGTTTCCTGGGGTGAAATTTCATTAGCGCGCATCCTGCTGTCGCCGTGTTTGGAGCTGTGCACGGAAATAGCTGGCACCGTGCTGGCCAGCGGGGCCTTAAATATACCGCTAAAACGACCGCCGTGTAAATATCGGTCAGCCTCAGCATTTCTCAAAAAGAAATATTCGTGGATGGCGGTGCTGGCATCCGTCTTGATAGTGCTCTTTGGCAGCGATCACTTCCCAGTCTCTGCTTTCATTACGATATTTTAAAATTATTTCCATAATTGTTTCCCCCAAAGGTGAGAGTATGTAAATTAAATTACGCATCTTATTCCTGTTGAGTGAAATGATTCATTTAAGCATTTTAAAATGAGCAGTCCTTGAGGCAGTTTGAGGAGGCCTTGACATGGTCATAGCATCACCCCACACCTGGGGCCAGCCTCATCTATCCCCCCTGGCCACAGGAGCCCCTGTAGTCTGCGAGGGCCCTCGGTGATCTACGAGTGTTGATGTAGAGGTGGGCAGTTCATTTATGAGCACTTATTTCTGACTCGCTAGAGCAGCAAAAGTAAGCGATACCAGCAGTTGAACCCAAGATTAATCATGAGTCTCAGGTTCTGTCAGAGTGTCTTCGCACCTAATATTATCTTTTCACTCTGTCGTGTGATATTTCATATATTTGAACTTTTCACAAATTTGGGACATGAAATTAAGCGTAATCGTTGTTGGCGTGGGCTATTTAGGTCTGCATTCTCAAGCAGTCCTACTGTGCCTTGTATTCGTAGATCAAGAAAATCTCGATTAAGCTTTATAGAATATCAGAACACGTGTTAGCAAGTACCTATTAACGATTGAATTGGGCACAGAGCCAAGCGCTATCCAGACTCATTGCTAATGTTCATTATAACGCCGCCCTCATTTTTGGCAGAGTCAACCTCGGGGAGGCTCAGATGCCTTTTGTATACAATATCACCTTTGGCAATGTGTGTGTCCAGAGATCGAACCCTGGTTTGCCGACATTGCAGCGTAGTGCAACTTACTTGGTGGCTCAGCAGTAGAGCACGCGGCTCGCAATAAGAAGATTGGGAGTCATGTCCTGGGTGGTGACTGACTCATCCTATTATCCCTCTGGGGTTGATAAAATGCATACCACTTTGTGGGGAAGTCAATAGTGATTGTCCTATGGATAGATTCGTCCCTGTCATAAGGATACTGAATTCCCACTCCTAGCTCAGGGTTGTAAACAGGAGATAGGCACTGCCTCATTGCTCATCAGCAAATCACGACCACCACTACCAAGTGCTCTTAAATCTGCTCTGTTGATCACGCGTCTCAGAGCGACCGCTTCTCCAGGCAGCTGGAGTCATCACCTCGACGCGGCTCTGTGCGTCCACAGTGGGAACTGCCCCTTCCCCGTGCTCTCCCAATGCCTTTAAAAGCAATTACCCGCGGATTCTGTAGCCACGGCAACTTAAGCACGGCTAAACCAACCTCGGCAAAATGTTTTGACACATTTTCAGCGAATTAAGGGCATGGCTGATGAAGCTTTGAGCGCGGAGGAAATGAAATGAAGACCGTGTTACATAATGTGTCCCGTCGGACATCTGGGCACCTGCTCCGTAGCACGGTGCTGCGACTGGAGAGACCGTCGCGCCCTCACTGGCCGGGCTGTGACGTTGCCGTGATGTCACCTCTTGGCCGACTTGCAATGCGACTTGGATCTGAGTGTCAATGTGCACCCCTTATTGCTGATGCACCACTGGATGAGGTCCTCCCCACGCTTTGTGTGCCCTCGAGGCTATTTGATGATACTTCACCACAATGGTCGGTGCGGTTTGGTGAATTCTGGGAGTGTAGAGGTGGGAGTATAGAAGTACAGTTCAACAATTTATTTTGTTGCAATGCCGTCTGCAGACCACAACGTAGCACTGCAGCCCACAAAACTGTCATGCATGACAGTCGCCCAGCCAAACGCTATCCGGACTCAATCTTCTTAACTTCCTAGACCGGACGAGATAGGATACATTCTGGATGATTTGGTTAAAGTCTTTCGTCTGTACGGCAGTGTTTAATTTACAACACAGCTTGAGGTTCGTGTGACAGCATCGACGGCTGCAGGAGTCCAATGCGGTGCATCTTGTACATCGCGCGGTCGCGCCGGTTCCGGCTGTGAGCGTTCACCCGAGCAGCGTGTGCCCGAGCGTCTAGCCAGTGCCGCGGGCCAAGGCATGTGCTCGCGTACTCGAGTGCGCACAGAAAGATTTGCCGGAGGAACAGGGCATTCCGTCTCCTTCCCCTCTGATCCTGACGCTCTGCGGATTAAGATCCACGCGGGGGTCACGCCAGGAACACTAATAACGTTAGCAGCAGCAGGATTAGCGCCTGTGCCAACGTCAATGCTTTGCTTGCAGAAAGAAAGGCACTTAGGTCAATTTTATTTGTTTAACTAGAGACCAGGATCAGTCTCATTTGCACGAGTGGCTTGGGTCATCAACATGACAAAATCAAAAGAAATAAACGACAGCAATAAAGAAAATAGAAATCAGTGCAAAAATAACTGCGTCACATGAGAAATTGGCGCATGATTTATGCGTTTTACCAGAAGCACCCTACTCAGTGACGTCCCGAAGAAACACAGCGGCAGAATTTGTGACAGGAAAGATGACAATAATGGTCATGTTCAAATAGGGAGTGAGTCTGTTGAGAGGGGGTCTCTGTTGAGAGGGCATCTATTGAGAGTGTGTCTCTGTTGAGTGTATGTCTTGAGTTTACTCGTCATTTGAGTTGTTTTGTCAAATGGATTAGCTTTCATAATTATAAAAAAAAAACTAACTGCATTCATTCATAGCCAAAATGAATGTCTTTTTTCCAGCGCTTAATCAAACAAGATCTCCCAGGCACAGTCTCGAAATGGTCAGACAAGTAATGTAATAGGGTGTTGAAAGCAGCCCTGTGTGTGTGTTAAACGCCGGCACACACGAGCGCGTGACCAGCCGAGAGAGACGAAGACTGCCGATTGGCCGAGACGCAACAGGCGCCCGTGCCTGTGGGGCCATTTTACTTGTTCTGCCTCTCCCACTGAATTCTAAAGTAATTAAAATTAAGTGACATTCATATTTTGTCATTTTCGTTTTCATTGTTCATAAATATCCTTTAAAAGTATATATTTGTTTAATCGAGGGGTCATAGCACTGAGCTGGCACTGCTGAGTTTCTGGGCTCGAATCCAGGTTTGAGCCACCAGGGATCAAACTGAGTCGGAGGTTGATGGTCTCAGCCTGGTCACAATTCACTGTGCACGAATTCACATTATAATGTATTAACTTCGACTTTTTACTGAATTTTGCAAACATTCCAGCTTTGAAATTTTTAACTGTCAATGAAAGTCAACATGTGAGTTTGTTTGTGATTGTGCACCACTACCAACACAGCCTTACCAAATACACTATTTATCTTTAAATGTCAAATTTGACTGACATACAATGAAACATTCTGTGGCAGGGCACGTGGGAAAATGTGGATAAGAGATCTTTCTAAGGGATCTCAGAAGGGTAATGCAGTGCTCTGTGAGAGTTCTCAGTGGACACCTCGCCATATGCCAAGAGCACAACTGGAATAAAATAAGGAAACAGACACAACGCTAACAGTTGTGTGAGTGGGGCTCACATTAAACCATCGCGTGCTGCAAGGCGCCACGCGCCACGGGGGCAGGCACACATATCGGGCACGGCCACTCTCCCGTTAAAGTGTTAGTGATGCACAGTGTAGACTGCTATTCACACACACTGTAGACTATTGCATCGATTGTTCCTTGGCTATTTTTCTACGGTTTTGACAGCTGCTGCCCAGCGCCGGTAATCTGACATGGTGCCATTGCGTGAGTGAGTGTGCTTGTGTGTGTGCAGTAATGGCTTGCTGTGTGGCTTTGCTGCCTCTAACCCCGCATGCGTGTGTGCTGTTGCCCCGGTGCGGCCATGTCGGCGCTGGTGCCCGTTGCCGGGGTGTGGGCCACAGAACGAGTCGCGGCACATTGAGATGCTGGCGGCCGCCTGCGCCGTGGGCGTTGGCTGCAGCTTTGCCGCCCCTGTCGGAGGCAAGTCCTGGGTGGCTCGGCCGCCATCTTCCTGAGTGATCATCGGGGTCAGGGGTCACGGCTCACGATACTAACCCACTCGCTTTCCACTGAGCCGTGTTACACTGGAAGCAGTGCGATGTCGGTTCATTATAGCAATGTTAAAACACGGAACCGACGATGTCTCAATTTACATCTTTGGTGGCCTCGCCTAGATTTAACCAATTCAAGTGTAGTTTGGTTTATGGTCTCAGCCTGGTCACCTTTGACTGCACAAACAAAACAATATATATTAAAGCGGATTTTGTTATCCCAATCTGAAGCAAGGCGAACGAGCTCTTCACATGGCAATAAGCAGCATCGACTTATGCTTGTGGGGGGAGGCGTGAATGGAGAGACCCTAATTGAAATGGTCTCTGTTACTCAACATAACAGGAGGCTCTGTCGCCTGTGGGAGTCATTAGAATGGAATGCGATTTTTTACAAAATCTAACGACCCTCAATTTTAAAAACGATTAACCTCGATTGCTAATGGAATCCAAAAACACGACATAAAAAAAAATGTCACTGCAGCAACCCCACGGCTCCGTCTCAAGCGAGTGTACCTCCACCCTTTGCGTCAGGAGCGTCGCCTCCTCCTTCTACTCTGCGCCGTTTGTCCTCTGTGTCCTCTATCGCCTTAACCTCGACGTGTGTTTCCAGAGGTCTCCCGTTCACCCTGTTGCTAACCCCTCCTTGCCGGCGGCGCGGCGGCCCCCTGGGCCCCTCGTGGCCTCACGCTCCTCCACTGTCCCTGCGCTGTGCTCTCTGTCCTCCCCACGGCTGCCGGGGTAGAGGCCCACGTGCCTGCCCGATGCCCTCACTGTGAGCTGTGCCGTCGGAGTGGGCTGTTGCTTCGGCACGCCCCTCGGAGGCAAGTTTACTCGCACGGCGCACACTCTCACCGCTGTACGTGGACGAGGGGAGGAATGGGGGGGAAGACGTAGTACGTACGACGAGTGTGCGGGCAGATCATTAACCCATGCGCCCTGTGGCCTCGTCTTCACACATGTCAGATTAATTTATATCCAGGGCATCATTTCAACCTGAACAGAGCCTGGAATGCTGACCCGGGAAAGAGTTTAGCGATGCGTCCATCTCGCCTTATTTTATATTTTACATGTGCAAACCTGTTAATATGGATAGGTGTACCCTGTTACTACTGTGCTCGTGCCTTATGCCGACAATCCAAGCCCAGCCCAGTAGCGTTCTGAAAAATACCGAGTGAGAATGGAGCCCTGCTTTTGCCCATGTTCTACACCTGCATGCTTTCCTCGTATTACGTTTAGTCAGCATCAAAGCGCAGAGTTAAGCATTGTTTACATTCACATCGACTATGTTTACTTTGTTCATCAAGATCTTGCACTTCCAATTCACACGGTTGGCGACGTACAATGCGAAAAAAGTTCAATATACATACATCTCCACTTTTTTTATGGTGTATTATGTAATATTCTGTTAATACCAGTAATTTTAACACGTAGGTTTTCGCAACCAATAATATCCATAATAAGTTTTTTGGGTTAGATCGTGTAAATATAAATGTTTTTAAACCCACCACCGCCCGATACAGCCAATTAGTAAGGTTTGTTACGTCAACAAAACATGCCACTTCGTTACTACTTCAGCACACGAGCGTTTGGGAGAGTAAACCCACGACATTTGTTATTCGAGTACAACGTTTTGCTGGTGATTACATCCAGCTTTAATATGTAAGTAGCCAGCATTCTGGAGATGTTTTCCTGTTTCGGTCTTAAATAGACTAAAGGTGATGTCATCACTGTGAGTCTATGGATCATGTTAATTTGAGAATATACAGCATTTATTATTGGATTGGTTATTCACAGTTAATACACATATAGTGGAATGCTTTTATGTTGAGTTTGTTGTCTTACCCCGCACCTCCGATGAGCACGCTCAGGCCACGCACGCCACGAAGGAAGCTCAACTCACCTCCATACATATTATGTTGATCTGAGAATATTGTGACCAACCTTACTAATTGGCTGTGTCAGGTGGTGGGGGGTTAACTACACATTTATATTCTTGGTTCTTTCGGTAAAGTCACGTAGAAGAAAAATAATAAATATGAAAATATTTATCGTTGAATATTTTTATTATTTTATTATTTCCCTTCTACGTGACTTTACCGAAAGAACCAAGAATATGAATCCCTGAAGTCACGAAAGCTTTAAATCAAAATAACCCGGAAAAACCTTTATTATGGATAATACCAGTCCTTAAAATTATTCATCCAGATCAGGCTCTCAGAGTTTCAAGACTTTCTTTCTTGGGCCCAGCAATTCCGACGTTTGGCCACTCATCTTTGAAGGAGTTGCTTTGCGTTTGGGAGGGAAATTGAGTACTCGGAAAATACTGACCATGCGTATGAGGGGTTAATGCTCGAGTTCCTGGCTATTAAGCTAAGCAATCACTCCAGACATAGTCATTGTTATTACCTTTAAACCTCTTGTTCCAATGCATTGTTCAGCAGAGAAAGCCACCTCACCATTTACTTTCAGCAGCAGCAGCAGCCATGGTCACCGACTGCTCCCGCACACGAGCTCATTTCATCGCTCCATCTCCGTGGTGGACATCCTCTTGGATGCATTTCATTCGTCGGGCATTACCAGGGCCACCTTGCAGCTGTAATCGTCTCACGAGAGTCTCCCGGTCCCTGATGCCCGCGAGGAGTGGGCTCCGTTCCACTGCCAGAAAACCTCCAGGAGACACGATTAGGGGCTCTCAGTGGGCAGAGCTCAGGCTAGGGTGAACACACAACACCAACACACAGTTGTATAGCAACCTGGATGTAGGGCAGTCTATGTCACACAGGCAAGTGTGGCCAAGTGTGTGAAGATGTATGCAGGGGTGAATGTGTGAGTATATATGTGTGGATGTATGTAGAGGTGTGGCTGTATGTAGTGGCCTGGCACAAGCGTCGTGGTGACGTCACCGCCACTTAGTGGCGAATGGCGGTTGTTGTTGTATGTAGTGGTGTGGGTTTATGTAGAAGTGTGAGCCACCCACCACCTCGTATACCGTGCTGGCCTTCAAAGGTGCTCGCAAACAGCACTTGGCCCAAAAGTCTGTTAAGGCTATACAGGGGATCTTTGTCCTTGCATATAAAGGTGTGGGTGCATGTAGAGGTGTGGATGTGCGTGTGGCTGGATGAGTGCACCTGACGCCTCGTCTCCCCGGCAGGTGTGCTCTTCAGCATCGAAGTGACATCCACCTACTTCGCCGTGAGGAATTACTGGCGCGGCTTCTTCGCCGCCACCATCAGCGCGTTCATCTTCCGCGTGCTGGCCGTGTGGAACAACGACGCCGGTCAGTGGCGCTGTTGTGACGCTCACGGACGAGCACGAGAACGCGAGCCGGACGCGGCCGCCGGCACGAGTGTCCCCCCACCGAGGGCGGCGCGCGGCCACCCCCGTTGATCGCCGTGTTGTCTCCGCAGAGACCATCACTGCGCTCTTCAAGACCAACTTCAGGATCGACTTTCCATTCGACCTGCAGGAGCTGCCGGCCTTCGTGGTGATCGGGTGCGCGCCTCACCCTGTCTGCTCGCACTCAGCGACACAAACACTCGCGTGCCGCCGTTAATGCTCATCGTGCAGCACCTTGCCTAAAGGATCCCGTTGCCCTGCACGAGCGCGGTCCACGCAAACTCGGGGCCGAGGGTGAAGAGCCTGTGGTGGTGATAGGGTTATAATGAGAGCGTTGCTGGTGGGTGGGTTGTTGTGTTGGTGACAGTATTGTGGTGCAAGCATTGTGTTGGTGAGTGTAGTGTTGGCAAGAGTGTTGTAGTAAGTGTGTTCTGACAGTAAGTGTTGCGTTAGTGAGCTTGTTGCGGTCAGAATGTTGCATTGAGAGTGTTGTGTTGGCGAGTGTTCTGTCGGTGAGTGTATGTTGTGGTAAGTGTGTTGTGATTGAGTGTTGAGCTGGAGAGAGTGTTGCGGTGAGCCTGGTGAGGGCGCGGTGCTGAAGCTGCGGCTGTGTCTGCGCTAGGATCTCGTGTGGTCTGGTCGGCGCGCTCTTCGTTTACTTCAACCGTAGGATCGTCCTCTTCTTCCGAAGGAACAAGGCCATCAACAAGTTCTTCATGAAAAAGTGAGGCCTTCATTTTCCCCACTGATACCTGGTCCTCCCAGTCATTCCCGGGGAAACACTGTTGTCTCAATTGTCTTTGAAATATGTGACCTATACATTCGTACACATTACAGTACGTTAGAATGTACGCTTCCAGGTTGTGTGGCCAGTGTGAAAGAGTAGCTTTTTAATACAATCTAGAGGGGCTCTCTAGTGCTTCCTCGAGTGGAGGTCCCTCTTCCAGCAATGGCGTGAGCCAGCAATTGCAGGGCTGTACCTTTACCTATACTAGAGAGCGTCTCTGCTCATGGGGCAGTTGATCCAGATTATACGATTTTGGTTTGCGTGCTGACGGCCATGCTAGCACTGTCACATGCATGCACGTATGCATTCAGTCATGCAATAGTACCTGCTATTCACCACTAAGTCGTGGTGAAATTACCACAGCGTCAGGAACTCGGTGACGCAAAGTTAGTGCCCCACGCCACTGCCCTGCAATTCTGTCTACGTACACATACACACATGCATACGGATGCACGAGAACGTACGCGCGTATGAGAATGCGTGAGTAAAGGTGGTTCCGTTGCGTGTGTGTCTCAGGCGCCTGCTCTTCCCGGCCACCGTCACGTTCATCATCGCCACACTCACCTTCCCACCTGGGTTCGGACAGTTCATGGCAGGAGAAGTAAGATACTCGGTTCCTCTCCATCCAATCAGCATCGAGGATTGTGCTGAGCGAGCGCTGGGCCAATGCTGGCAAACGCCTTCAACTGCCTCCCATCTTGAATCAGTCTCGCCGCTATGGAGGTTCATGGTCTTTTGTTTGGGATCTTTTGTAGCTATGTCTCTCCATCTGATTCTCGACCTTCCTGCGTTCCTCGTTCCCTCTCCTCGCACGTGTCGTGCCAAACATTGGTTTGGTTCTGCGTGTGTGTGTCAGCTGGGGCTCCGTGTGTAAACTACGGGCATCTGTGTGAGCAAAGTTCATAATAACGTGATGCTTGGGCCCAACCCCTATGGAGTAAAGTGTGTTTCAGGCACGTGTGAGTCTCATATCTATGTGTGAATTTACCTCTTTGTGTGTCTCTCTGTCTCTCTCTCTTTGTGGGTCTCTTTGTGTGTATCTTTATCGTTGTATCTGTGTGTGTCACTGTCTTTGTGTCTCTATCTGTGTGTGAGTCTATATGTGTCTCTCGTATTTTGGGTATTTTGCACCATCAAACACCACACCACCACGACTCCCAATTGGTAATGGGGCAGTTGTGAAGAGAGTGGAGAGTTTTCCATACCTGGGCAGTGTGCTCATGACTGGCTCTGTTTTGACAGCAGAGGTCTCACTCCGAATCAGCCGAGCGGCATTATCTTCTCGGCAATGGTCATGCCCTCCCTTCTCTATGATTGTGAAACGTGGACCCCCCTAATGGAATATCTTTGCCGGTTAGAAACATTTTGACTGCCCTGCCTGTGAGTTCCATCCTTGAAAGATCTGGACAAAGTCTCATCAGTGTGCTCCTCTGGCAGGCAAGACTACGTTGGCTGGGTCATGTAGCCCGACAGAGGGGGCTAAATGGCGTGGTACGGACTGGAGAAGAGATGGAGTGATGTGGCACAGGAGGATGTGGAGCTGAGTGGACTTGCCGATGACTGGTACCAGCGGTGTCAAGATCGGCCTTAGTGGAGGAGGCTCGTGAAGGATGCTACTGGGCAGTTGGAGACAGCCGCCCTCCAGTAACAACTGGGGGCAGAGGAGCGATGCCCACAACAACGAGCAAAGTGCCGGGTGGCTAAAGCACAGCAAGTTGGCACAGTAGGGGGCACAGGTGGTGCATCAGCCAGTCATCTCAGTCAGGCAACCCATGGCACCTGGGTCTATCCCGTGACCTGCCAGCAGGAATTCCACACTTCACGTGGCCTTAACGTGCACATAGCCTGGCACAAGCGCCGTGGTGGCGTCACCGCCACTTAGTGGCGAACGGCGGTTATTGTTTTTGTGAATCTCGTGGCTGCTGTGACCACAATCTCTTCCCATCCTCACTGCACACGTCTCTAGCATAGGACGCTGTTGCTTTGAACTGTGGGGGGTGATGGGGGACGATGGGAGGCAATGGAAGGTGATGGGGGCATTCAGGGGTGATGGGGGGCGATGGGGGCGGCTGTAGGGGTGCGGTGCGAGTGACGCCCATGCCGTGCGCTGTGCCTTGACAGCTGACGCAGAGGGAGATCATCAACACGCTGTTCGACAACCGCACGTGGGTGAAGGAGGGCGTCGCGCACGAGTTCGACCTCCTGGACAATGCTAGCCACTGGAAGCACCCGAACGCCAATGTCTTCATCATTCTTTTTGTCTTCATCATCATGAAGGTGCCACTGCGATGAGGTTTCACGACCCAGGCGCTGTCCCGGGCTCCTCCAGGACCCCACGATTATGCACACTGAGGAGGCCAGGAGATGGCAGAGCAGCATGAATTCTTGAATCTATCTGTATGAAACTTCGAGTGTTACCCTCATGGGCGTGGTGCGTTTTATCTGGGTTCCCCGGGCTTTCTCTGTCATGAAGCCAAACTCTAATTCATGGAATTGGTAAAAAAAAAAACAATATAGCAGGACCCTCCTGAAGGGTTAGATTGCTCATAGTCCTGCAACATGACACGGTGTTGGCACATCGTGCAATGTTATTGTGTGTTACGCTATGCATTTGTGCTGCACTATTCTCCCCTGCGTGGTGTGTGCTATTGTCCTGTGCTGTGCTCTGATGTGCTCTGAGCTGTCTTTTTCTGGGCTGGCATATGTTGTGCTCTGCTATAGTCTATTGCGCTGTGTTGTACTGTGCTATAGTTTGATGTGCTGGTCTCTGTTGTGCTGTGCTGCTGTTGTTGGGGCTGATAGCAGCCACTCTTCTCTCTGTGCCCCAGTTTTGGATGAGTGCCCTGGCAACCACGATGCCTGTGCCGTGTGGATCATTCATGCCCGTGTTTGTCATCGGTAAGTGATTCCGCGGCCTACACGAATGTCTTCTCCTCATTGCTCACCACCGTGCCTTTTATAGCTTCCGCACATCTCTCTGTGTATATCTGGTGCATGTGTTCCCGTGCATCTTAAAGCAATCCCGAGTGTCTTGATGTGTTCCCGTGTGCCCACATGCCTCCTATATCTGCGTGTGTCTCTGGGCCTCTTACGTGCATCACGGTGTGTCTCCGTGCCTCTCCATGCCTCTCCATGGCTCTCTGTGCAGCCTTCACTCAACTTCCGTTCCCCCGTGCAGGAGCTGCCTTCGGCCGCCTCGTCGGGGAAACCATGGCTTCCTGGTTTCCGGACGGAATCCACTCCGAGGACAAGGTCTACCACATTGTACCAGGCGGCTACGCCGTCGTAGGTGTGTACATGCACGTGCCTGCTAGGTTATCACACAAAAACAAGGATCCCCCATGCAGCATCCATAGACTTTGGGGGCAAGTGTTGTTGGCGAGCACTTGTGAGGCCGGCACGATGCACAAGGGCGTGGTTTGGCTGTAATTCCGACTACCTTTGTCTCTCTGGTGCTGATGTATATACACTGCACCAGGTAGTCATGTAAGGCTGATTCAACCGGGGGGAGACCCAGGACTGGTTCAGATAATTGTTTTTGGCTGTGAGCGGGAAACAAATTCAGGTGGTCTCTCGTCGAACGTGCGTCGATAGACAAGTGTGCCCGCATGCAAGACCGTGCCTGTGTGTGCAGGAGCGGCGGCGCTCACGGGCGCTGTGACACACACCGTGTCCACGTCAGTGATCGTGTTCGAGCTCACGGGGCAGATCTCGCACATCCTGCCAGTGCTCATCGCTGTCATCCTCGCCAATGCCGTGGCGCAGGCGCTGCAGCCCTCACTCTACGACAGCGTCATCCTTATCAAGAAACTGCCGTACCTGCCCGATCTGGGCTGGGGGAACACAGAGTGAGCGCATCAGCACACCCGGCCACCTGACCAGTGTGATGATTTACGTAGCACGTGTATAACATCACTGGTTTGGTGATGAGCATAACATAACAACACCATTAACCACTAAGTGCTGGCGATGTCACCATGGCGATTGTGCCAGGCTAGGTGTACTTTGAGGCCACGTGGAGTGTGGGAGGCTCATTATTAGGAGATCACAAGACAAACACCTCTTTTGGGTTGATTGAATGAGATTACTGGCAGATACACCACCTGCGGTCCTTGCTGTGCCACCTTGGTGTGATTTAGCAACCCAGCGTTCCGCTCATTGTTGTGAGCATTGTTCTGCCTTTTGTTGTTGCCAGACAGCTATTGGCTCCACCTAACCAGTAGTGTCCCTTCACAAGCCTCCTCCACGGAGGAGTAACTGCACCAGTCATGTAGTGACATAATACATGTCCTACTTCATCAGTGTAACAACTGCCCTCCGCGTGTAACTGCAGAGATGCTGGAGGGTGGATCGCGAGGGAACTCTGGAGCCATGATCATCTCCGATCGTCCTCGACTTGGATGATGCGTAGTCCCCGTGCTGCACCCGTGTAGCCATTATTACGCGAGAGTAACCAAAAGTTTTGACTGCACTGCGCAGGACGTACAACATCTTTGTGGAGGACATCATGGTGCGCGACGTGTGCTTCATCTCGTACGTGTGCAAGTACCGCGACCTCAAGGAGCTGCTGTGCAGCTCCAGCCTCAAGTCCTTCCCACTTGTTGACTCGTCTGGTGAGCTGGGCCTCAGGGCCGGGCCCCACAAAGGCCACCGCCAACGTCACCGACTCGTTAAAACAGAAGCCGCCTTACATACTTCAAAGAGTCACGAGATGTCACTAGATAGACCTTCTGAACCATTTTACCACTTGACATTTTACTAGGTGTTAAACACAGTAAACAGATGCAGGATTCTTAACACGCACCTGCGATCACTCTTGAATGCTAACCATCGAACAGAGATGGTTACTGCATCGCGTGCTTTCTGATGCATTTTGCGGCCATCTGCAACGCTCTTCCTTCCAATATTAGGAAGCGACTGAAGAAATGCACTTTTAAATCTACATTGAAAACGAATTGCTTTAGAACTGCTTTTTGTGTTTAGTTTGTTGTAATTCCCCCGGATCTCCATTTAGCACAGTTGGCTACGTATGGTGAAAAAGAATTTCAACATACATACATACATAGGCAGAATGTCCTCATCCCAGAACGTCGCTAGATTTGTCGTGAATTGCTTTGACAAAATTTGTTGCTACGGAATACAAAAAGGTCACGAGATTAAGCGATATAAACGCTAAGTTGGCAACTCTGTCCTCCAGTGTCCTGGCAGTGTGGGGTCAGTTCATTTTGGGATCCGTATGTCCCCCGCGTGTCCTCCGCATGTCCCCACCTGCAGACTCGATGATCCTGCTGGGTTCGGTGGAGCGCAGCGAGCTGCAGGTGCTGCTGGACCGGCAGGCCGGCCGTGAGCGCAGGCTGCAGCATTTGGAGCGTCACTCCCTCGCACCCACCACTACTGCCGCCGCCTCCGCCAGCACTGCCCCCAACAAAGCACTCAACGGCGCTGTGCTGAGCACCAACGATGATGGCAAGACCCTGCAGGTGGGGCCGAGCATTGGGGGGTTTTCTTCTTTTGTATCATGGCAGCGTTGATCAGCAAGGTTTATACGAGTCTGTAATGAAGTGTCTGTAGTTATTTAGTGTATCCAGAGACCATGCAGTGCCATGTGACTCCATGGGTATATTTCATCCCCTGCTTAAATAAAGGATATAGCAACCATATGTTCAGTGGACAGCTTCAGAAGTAGTCTGGTAAACAAGTTCAAGTGTATTTGTTTAACCAGATGAGAACTCAAGATACTAGGATAGCCACATTAGCAAGAGTGAACTAGAGTGACCTGAACATTTGAACTGCTGCTGGAGAATGACCAAATCGGACAGTGGTGTACTCTGGGGCAAATAAATGTAGATACATATTCACAAGTTGATTCATTGACTCACATAAAACAAATCCATAGACTTACATAGACACCCATTTACTTATTTAGAGACCTGCTGACTTAAATAGATAGTTCTTATTTCATGGGGTGGTGGGTTTGATGATTAAACTTTTCTATGTTCATGTCGAGGTTAGTGAGAGCCAGTGAACGGCTTTAGGGGTAGTCTGGATAATGTTTTAAGCGCTGCAGGTGAATGATTGAAGCAGGCAAGTCGCACACAATGTTGCTGTCATGCACAAACGACTCATGTTGTGGGACACTTTGCTGCCCACCTCCCACCTCCCATGAGCAGAGCACGAATGGGAAACCGCTCAAATCGGCGATGAAGCAGACGCCCAACACACTTTCAGCACAGGCCTTGGAGAGGAGGGCAGGTACAGAGTGGCGGAACACCGCACAACACAACATGCCCAACCCTCGGCCGACGTTGCGATTTTATCGCGCAAAACTTTGTTAGGCTCTGCAAGCCCGTCCTGTGCTAACCACTGCAACTTCGTTGCTTTTAGTTCAGGATGCAGTCATGAGTCACTTAGGCATGAATTTCAGGACTGTGTCTGTGTTACAAATCAGAGGCTGGGAGGCCCGAGGCTTGCCCTCCCCTCTCGCCTAGGTGGCCTGGCCCAGAAAGCCTGGCAGGAGATGTATGCAAGGAAATGTACCATTCTGGCGAATTGCCCGATGATGCTGGATGCATTTACCAGCGAAACGTCGTACTCAAATTGTAAATGTTGTGGCTTCAACACACCGGTGGGCTAAAGCAGTGAACTATTTGTCTTTTGTCAACGTGACACTTTTTTACTGATTGGCCGTGTCGGGTGGTGGAGGGTTACGACACATTTATAAATAACGCGATCTAAACCCAAAAACGTTGATTATGAATAACATTAGTCGCAAAAGCCTACGTGTTAAACTGAAATGTACCTCCTTGGTTGATGAAAAAACAAAATTACTTTCCAGACATTTGAGATACAGATTATCACAGTGTCACACATACAAATTCAGCCATGATGAGCCAGCATGCGACCATGTCACCCTGTAACATGGTCATAATGTGTGGTATGGTTTTGATAGGAATGCTGTGGCATGGTGTGACGTGGCATGACATGGTGTTTTGTGGTATGCTGTGTTGAGTGGTTGGTGTGGCATGGTGTTTTATGGTTTTGCGGATGTGGTGTTTCGTATTTTGTTGTGACGTGGTGTGCTATGGTGTGATGCTATAGGGCAGGAGAGCCCACGAGTGGCTCTAAACACCATCTTCTGCTCGAGTCCCAGTGAGGATGAGACCGAGGCAGAGGTAGGAGACACCAGATCCCTCAATACAGGCAACTCACTACAAACGCAATGCAGACTACAGACACCTCACCACAGATTCATCACTCTCGATACACGATGCTGAGCTCCACATACTTCCCACCTACTGCCTCACTCCAGACACTTCACTACAAACTCTTCACTCCATCATTGTGAATTGCTATTCCTATTATGTTACATTTACATTAATAGGTTGAAGAGTGTCTCGCTCATAATTGAGACATTTAACTCTACACTCCACACAGAATCCTTTGATCACAGAGCCACACACAGAGGAGGCCCTCTCCGTGAACCGATTCCTCTGTCACAGTGAAGTGCTGCTTATAACAGTAGAGTCGACAATTTGTAATAAAGTACACTTCATCTTCACCGCATTCCAAGACACTATGGCGCACTCCAGACAACACCATCATCATTATTTATCTTGCGCCCACCCGTGCAGTAAAGCAACACGTGATACACATGTACTGCACACATAGCATTGACCCGATGTCGCCGCTGCTGTGGAGTTGCTCGCTCACCAACGCCGTGGGCTGGTGAGTGACATTGCAGCCTCATGACAAGGCCCGGACGCCTTGTCGCGTGGGAAACGGGCATCTGTCGTGCGGGGCGCATGGTGGCGTGTGTTAAAAGAGTGCTGTACACTGCCGTGTCTCTCCTCTCCAAAGAGCTCCACCAAATGTGAGACCCTCGAAAGCCGAAAACAAAAACGGGTCAAAATATATGTCGTGGTAAGTGGCCTCTGCCCAGAGTGGCGGACGGAGCTTGCTTGTGGAGTGATTCTAGTTTGTTATTGTAACACTAAGACTAAGGCTGCTAATGTCTCTATGCATTGTGATTCTCGCTAATGCATACGCCAACGTAGATCCGCACTGCCCTCATCCTGTCGCCGTGTCCCCTCTCCTCGTGCGGTGGGGTGTCCACTGTTCGGCGTGCATAGGGCAGCACTGACCGAAATATAAATGCAAACAGAACATGAAATGGAGGCAATGCGCAGGCGGTGGGGTTAGGGGAAGCATTAGAGTCAGGGGTAGAGCTGGTGCAAGTGGCTGGTTGGCTGGTTGGTTGGGTAGTGTCAAGGGAAGTCGTAATATTAGTAGTATTGGTGGCTGGTTGGCTTCACAGTTTGAGTAAGTGGTAGGGATATGGTGAGTGCAAGGACCAAACAATACGAGTTTGCAATGCTCAGAATTTTCTTTGCATGGCCACGTTTCGTTTGTGGAGTTCACAGGAACGGCAGCCACGCCTTGGCCACTCACACATTAGCTCATTAGCACTCAGGCGTGGGCATGAGGTACAGCATGGATATAGAGCACACTACAATGTACAGGTCCCACTATGAACATGTGTGAAATAAATATATCAAAAGGGTAATATATTAGAAATACCACATTTAACATTAGGCAGTGAGAGCATGAATATCGGTGAAGTTGTGGTGCTGAAGCAGTTTCTGTCACGATAACCAGAGTATTCTTGTGAGCTAGTCGTGGTTGATAGTAATCATCAGCTGTTACTAACAATCCGCATACAGAGAGGACAGTGAGACTGTCCATATACATTCTAGATTTGAAGCTTTCGTGACTGCAAGGATTCATATTCTTAGGTTTTTTTCTGTAAAGTCACGTAGGTAAAAAATTTAAATTTAAATTAATAAAAGTAAAATAAAAATAAAAAATAAAAAATCACGACCATCACAGGCAAGACCTCTTCGGCAGTACTCAACTCAACCCAATTAGTCTCTATGGTTAAGGACATGGTACTATCTCCTGATGACATCCTCGTCAGTTTTGATGTAGTATCTCTGTTTACCAAAGTCCCAGTACCGGACACCCTAACAATAATTGAGGACTTAGTCTAACATGGATTGAATTCTGATGTACCTGCGCTGGTTAGGCATTGCCTCACCAACACCTATTTTACCTGGAATGGCACCTTCTACAAACAGAATGAGGGTACCCCTATGGGCTCCCCCTTGTCACCAGTGATAGCCAACATGTTCATGGAAAAGTTTGAATCAGACGCCATCCAGACATCCACCCAGCGTCCTTCCCTGTGGAAGAGGTATGTGGATGACACTTTCGTCATCTGGCCACATGGCCTCCCAGCATTGAACCACTTCTTGGACCACATCAATTCCAGACACCCATCCATCAGATTCACCATGGAAGTGGAGAAAGATGGTAAACTACCATTCTTGGATATTCTGCTTGAGAGGAATTTCCTTGGGAAATTCTGTCTACAGGAAAGCCACCCACACAGATTCCTACTTGAAACCGGATTCCCACCACCACCCATCTCAAAAGAATGATCTCATCAAAACGCTATACCACAGAGCCCATGGCATTTCTGACCAACACCACCTGGCCGGTGAATTAAGACATGTACATCGAGCCCTTAGGATGAACGGATACTCTGACCGAACCATCTGCCAAGCTGTTTCTCCCACCATACAGAAACAGCCACATGAAACTCCGACCAAAACTATCACGTTACCATACATAGCAGGCGTGACCAAAAAGATCTCCAAAGTTCTAAACAAACATAAGATCCAAGTCCGATTCAGTACAGTGCATAAAATCCGTGATCTGATTCCATCTGTGAAGGATGTCGTTCCTGACTTACAGTATCCTGGAGTCTACAAACTGAGTTGCAGTTGTGGTGATTGCTACATTGGAAAAACGAAACGTCATGTTTCTGATCGTGTCCGCGAGCACAAGTCAGATCTGAAACACGGCAGAACTGATTCTTCGGCCGTGGCCGATCATTGCTACAACTCTGTGGGCTCTCATGAAATTGTCTTTTCCGAGACCAAGGTGCTCTGCAAACCTCCTGGCTACCATCAAAGGTTTGTACACGAAGCCATACAAATATACAAACACAGACATAATTTCAACCGTGATGATGGTTACAAACTCAGTAATCATTGTAAAGATGTAATTAACCATGCAAAAAAGATTTAACTACACTTATTTGGACCATCTTATTTGACAGACAACTATTACAGGTTACTGATAGACAGCTAGTTTTGTTTTACCAGGTTTTAGTTTTTTCTTTTTTCACACTTTTGTTATGTAGGCTAGGCGTTAGTCACAAACCGTACCTCTCCATAACAAAGGCTCAGTCTTTTGTTATGCAGTCTATTCTTAGTCTTAAGCCTCACCTTACCATATTAATAAAAAGCGTGCCTTTCCGGGCCCTTCCCCCCTCAACCATTATATATACGGAGTGGTAGCTCTTGTAATCTCTCATTTACTTGATACAGCTGTCGTTGCTGTGACGGTTCCACCTGAAGACAGAAGCTTGTGTTGCCTCCGAAACGTCGTGATTTTTTATTTTTTATTTTACTTTTATTAATTTTAATTTCAATTTTTTACCTACGTGACTTTACCGAAAAAACCTAAGAATATGTCCATATACACTTCAAGACAGTGCACACTGATGTGAAGACAGGTGTATGTGGGTTACACACTTGTATGTTGAACTTCTTTCGCACGGTACCTAGCTAACCATGCTAACATACACAGGTACAGATGCCTTCAGTGTTGACTTAAACAGAGAGAGAAACATGGCAAGGAGAGGCCACTCCAGATTTAAGAGCTGTAGCGGAAAAACAGCAACCTCCCTGATTTGTGACAGTAGTTTCTGCAAGAGGAAGTGAGGGGGGTGGGAGAATTGGAGGAAATTGGATCAGAGGTAAAAGCTTTTAGAGGTAGGAGGAAGGACTTTGCAGAAGTGGGAGATGACTGCCACTCAGAATCATTTGTGATAACTTGTATCCCTGGTAATCATTATTGATTACTGGCAGTGGAAGCAGTGAGAGTGCTGAGCGATGAGGAGCATGTCAGTCGTGTAGCTATCGAGTGTGCAGGCAGTACAATTGGGTGAATAAGGGTGGATATTGGACAGAGGGCCTCATTCCAGTGATTGCACTCGGGCCCATTCGAAGCACGCTGCGTCACTGGGAGTGTCCGGGTCTTGGGAGGCTGAACGTGGACACCTCACCAAAACTTGCGTTGGCCTCCGTACCCCCCACGGCACTCGGCACTAACCCAGCCGGAACGGCCCCTCTGCTATCACTAACCACTCCCCGTCCTGCCGCCACCACCAGCAGCAGCATGGAAGCACAACACTAGGCTGCACTTGCTTTTGGAAACGTGTTTCCCTGCTGCGTAACAGCTGCAAGTGTGGAGATATAGAATGGATTGGTGGTGCAGAATGTGTGCCCACTTAAGAGCATATGTCCCATCATCACGGGAACACACTCCTCAAGTCCAGTTTATACTATTTGGATTTACAGAGCATCTAAATGCGAACGCGTCTCAATTGACAGAAATTTCAGCTGTCTCTTAAGGGATGTGACAAATCTCATCACATGACCACAATGGAAAAATAACTGCAAGTGAATCCTGGATTTCAAAAGAGGTGTGTGATGTGAAATGCAGCTTGTAAACTGAAAACCACAGCAAGCAGAAGTGAAACACTTTTCCAGATTCAGTGGCTGCCTGGTGTTCTGAGTTATGCCCACTGGATGATGCCTGCAGTTCTCTCCCACAGACACAACACAGAGCCGGCATTAAAATATAATGGGGAAGATCCTGTTAGTCCTTTCTCTTCTCTTCCGGTCTCTGATGTCTAAATGCTGCTGACGGAGGCATCTGTATGATCCCACAGACGGCAGTAGGGCCGCACTTCATGTTAAGGAATGAGCAAGGTGTGATTTTGTAGATGTTTTACTCGATATTTTTTACTTTTGTGCTATACGCAAGTACCCAGAATGCACCGTTCACACGAGTGAGGGGGTCTCCTTGTTGGTGTGCTAAATAACTCTCAGAGCTGGGCTAGGTGACATTCAATGAAAGATGTTTTTTGGCATTGTGCAGTCATTATAACCATAAGAGCACCTGCACTTGAGGCCCTGGCTGAAACTCATGTGGAATCTCAGGATTTGCAACCAGGGTTTCATTATTGCTGACTAAGCATACTGACATGGGTATTGGCGTCAGCCCACGAAGTCAACTGGCCTCCTCTTAAACATTTTACATTTGTTTTGATACAATATGATAAGAAACTTGCCTCTTGTTTTTGCTGCTCCGTAGCTTAGTGCGTTGCCGTGTGGCTTGGTGTAGCGTGGTGTGGCGTGATACGGTGTGTCTGGTGCACCAGTATAGTGCGGTGTAGCGCAGCCAGGGCACGGTATTGTTCTGGCCTGGAGTTGCGTAATTTAACAGTGCAACGAAGACATTTTTTACCTGTGATATTGTTGCTGATTGTTTTTTATTCTATCACTGTGCGTTGTCTTGTTCTGTCTTGTTTGTTCCATCAGCCTAAAGTCATATATATATGTTTCAATCATAAAAAGTAGATTTTTGTCAGCTGTGATCAGATGCATGCACTGCGAGTGATGAAGTGATAAATATTACATGCTTACAAATCACTCTGACCATGCAAACTGGCCCTGTTGCAGGCTCTTCAATAATGGTGGTTAATGGTGATAGTGGTGATGTGTGGAGTGGGGGCGTTAGCAGTGGTTGTAGGACAGGCTGAGCGAGAAAAGTTTCAAAGGACCTTCACGGTGCAGTATTTCTCACTGAATAGAGAGGTTGCTCACCCACCACCCCCACACATTAACAATAGCTCAGTCTTAACGCTGGCCCCCATCATGCACGCCATTCAGCATACTGCTGGGTACCGCTGGTTGACATTTTGCCACCTGTGCCACTGCTGGGCATCGCTGCGTCCCCACTGCCACTCCTGCAGTAAAAATAACAGAGCTCGGCTTCGCCACCGCTTCTACCTGCAAAACAAGCCTTGGCTCCTGCCATCTCCACCATGCTCTGACGTCCCCTCTGTGTATTTATATCAGCAGCCCTATTCTACCAGTTCTTCTGCCACTCAGATGACAAGTTCGCAGTTCAAGTCTGTGTCCATATGCCAAGTGGGCCTCGTGTGCAGTTGTCAGTAACCTACCTGAGACCATCATTCTCCACACATCTCTTGAGCCAACCAGCACTGTCACTTCTCAAACTATAATTTAGGCAGTTGGCCACATGAGTTGGACAGGCGAGGCAGGGTGAATGCAGCAATAGAGCAGGCTGAACAAGAGTGAACTGGGCGCCCTTCATACAGCGTTGATCGTGGTGACATGTGTAAGTGGTCTTGTGAGCGTGATTTTCTCTTTAGTCCATATGCCACAGTAATTTAAAACCAGTTGTGGTCACTATGTCATATTGTTGTATACTGCACGGCTTATCTTCATACGCCTCAGTCCCAGAGGCATCTTCCACTGTCAAGTTTGTGTTTTTGTCCTAGAGGTCAAGCTTTGGCTTTGTTCAACAAGGCCCAGGTCTAGACCTTGGCCTAAATGAAGGCATTGCAATTTAAGCCATATTATTCATCCAGTATCCTTTACTTAAACAAATGAGAGGTTTTTGAGATACTACTTGCTGTATATAATGTGCAGTACATTTTAAATCACAATTGATGAAAATTATTTTCCTATGAAATGATTCTGTGAAACAATTGTCAAAGCCTTGGCCTTTCTATTGATTTTGCGATCTTACACTGGAATCGGTTTCTTTGCCCTCATGGGTCCTGGATTGTCCATAACACAGAGTTACACACCTGCACCAAATGTGCACGGTCAGTGATGGTGCTGTACAATGACAGTGTAATGCCCGTGATGGAGGTTGTGATGTTGATGTAATGTCTGTCATGTTGGTATAATGCTTTGCAATGTTAAATGTAATATACGTATGATGCAATGATAGTGTAATATATGAGGGCATGATGTAATTTGATGTTGGTTTGGTGCCGTGTGATGTTGTGTGATATTGGTGTGATGTGAATATGGTACTGCTGCCATGTCGTGTGATGGCAGTATGACGTATGATGTGGATATGATGTCGCGTGATGTTAAGGGGGTGTGATATCATGCGATGTCAGGTGGACTCGGAATTAGGAATGACTACGGCACATCTCTTCACAGGAGGAGCCAGAAGTGGATTCCATGACTGAGATGGAGGTGAGAGCTCATTACAGGAACAAGAGATAATTACTCTTTGGTTGAGTCCAGGAGAACACATGCTGGGTTTACAGCTCAATCTATTACATTAAGTGATTCAATGTCGTTTTGTTTGGAAAATGTATGACAAAGGCAGTCGTTTATTTCATTATAATATTGATCCTACATTCAAACATAAAAAATATATATATTTCGTTTTCTAAATGCATTTAGGAAGTGGCTACTGAATTTTTATTTCAAAATAAGCTATACTTGACATCCAATCACAGTTATAAGGAGGACAAACGGCAAAAACAGCACGTGGACCCCAACACACAGCCCCAGCAGCGGCTGCTTATGGAAAAGACTATTTTGGAGAATGGTAAAAGTTACCGAGTAAATTTTTATTTTGAGTGAGCCGCATTGTTCCTCTTGCTTCTCGATGGAAACCCGATTCGTCACCGCCACGCTTGTCTCGGCAGGTGGAGGAGTGGGAGGAGCAGCAGTTGGACGAGATGGTGGAGTTTGACTTCTGCAGGATCGACCCATCCCCATTCCAGCTCGTGGAGCGCACGTCGCTGCACAAGGTGGGCCCTCGTCAGATTTGCGCTTAATCTGAGTTCATTCACTGTGAACGCGAGGCTCCATCAGTGCCGTCACATGGCCTTTTATTAACCTGGTGGGGCCCGATTCGCATACATTGTCTATTTCACAAGGGAGACCTGGCCACCATGTTGTAATTGTTTTTTTCTTTTTTTGTCTCGTCCAATTTGATCTCAATTGTGCAATCACGTCATGGCATAAGACGAAGAATCCATTTGGATCTCGCATATCAGTACTGCACACTTCTTGCGTCCCACAGTGTTAGTAATTTGTGAATGACATCACCATGGACTTGCTCTCACAAGCAACTCACACTGATGCGTCCTGCAAACAAGAGTCATTAAATTGAGATTTTTCAAATTCTTCATGTCACAAGACAAAGTATCTACTCGGACCTCTTGCAGAGCAGGGGCACTCTTTTACAAAATGGCCCACCGAAGCAGATATCACAGAACTACTTCTGAGATCCCTTTAAGTTACCTCTTATCCGCACTAAGGAGCAGCACTTTGTTGCCCACCCTGCTACAGAGTAATTTTCATATCCATCAACTGTCCAAAAGATTATTCAGGTTCCCCTGTTTTACTCTCTTGTTCTGTCATGCAGTGAGTTGTATCAGCCCAGTCACTGTACTTGAAAGTGAGCAAGCGGACGGTCGAGCTGGTGGGCATGTAAGTGGTGAAGTAAGAGTCACGTGTCTTGCAGACCCACACACTCTTCTCTCTGCTGGGTCTCAGCCGAGCGTACGTGACCAGCATTGGCAAGCTCGTGGGCGTCGTTGCCCTTCCGGAGGTATGACATGCCAACTGGGACATTCACACACACAGATATACACACAAATACCTGGTGCGGTGTGTAAATGTCGGCACTGAGACAAAGCGGCGGACGAATGTTCTGACCTTTATAGATGCTCACTACCAGAGCTTTTTCGAAGAACTTACGTGGGCAACATGGGGGTCTTTGTACATTCGTTTGCATGTATGTAACGCGTGTGTGTGTGTAGCTGCAGAAGGCAATTGAGGGCTCGGTAGTGACGGGGAAGGGCCTGCGCCTGCACCCGCCACTCGCCATGTTCCGTCGGGCCAGTACCAGCATGAGCGGCGATCCCGAGGCCACCGACAACCACCGGCTGTGGGAACGGCGACCGAGCTGCGCCGTGCACATCGACTCCCCGCTCACCGAAACCGATGAGCAGTCTGTGTGAGGGCTGGGCCTGGGATGCAGGGAGAGCGCCGCTGTGGTGCAGAGAGAGTGGGGTCAGGCACCAGCACACTCCACATGGAGCCTTCAGTGGGGCCGCGGGCCATTGTAGACATGAAGTCGTGTGCAGCCCCACCACGGCAGGATGTCTGGAGCCATCGCCGCACACCTGGAAGGCACTTTAAATTCTGCAGACTACCCCCTCGATTCTGGGGCAATGGCTGGAGATTGACGCTCGCAAGATTTTTTTTTTTATAACAAGAGAAAAGCGGTGCTCGTAACTCAATTCGTCCTCTGCGTGGGAGAATCACCGACCATCCTGGAGGCCCGGCTGGGCATGGTCGGGTGTTTTCTGAATCCGGTGTGGCCCAGGAAGACGCCACCGTTTTCGTCGCTCGGCTTCTGACCTCGTGTGCAATGGCCGACTCAGTGGCACCCAGCCTCGAACACTCTGCACTCCATAGGCGTGCAATATGGCGCCCGTGCGCCCACTCAATTCCTTCCAACCAATACTAAAAACATTAAAAAGAGTAACATCAGCAGTAATATCAGTAACCCGCACATGTAAATGAAACTTGCGTTTTGTACAACCCTTTCCCCTCCTCTACGGCCAGCGTCGTTGCCTGTCATGGGCCTTTTCCGTGGTGCCCTGGTCCCCACGAAGCGTGTAGCTTCCTCCTCCTCCCCCCCCGTATCTATGTTTCTGCGACGTTGTAAGTCGTGTTTGTCGCATTCAGGGTCTGTCTCGTGTTGGGATCAGACTGAGAGATGGGGAGGCAACACCCCAACACCACGTCATGCAGGCAGCGGCTGCCAGCGCCGGCTATGAATGTTAACCACTGACAAGGACTACTCGAATAACTCAGGGTCAAAATAGTTTCTCAGAGGCGTCAATGCTGGATACTGCACTGTTTAACCATATCTTATGTTACGTCGTATTGTACTACATGGAATATTGCATTGTATGATAATATCAAGCACTTTTTAATTGTAAGCGTATCATTTTGTAATCATGGAACCTCTGACTACAAATGTTGTTGGGATCAGTTTTCACGTCATGTCTGGCTCTTGAGTGGATTCTATTTTTTTACATCACCAATGACGTGCGATCACACTGAGGGAGGAGAGGCCACAAGGTGAAGAGGCGTCAATATTCCCACGACTTACAGGAGGCAGAGACTCGCACCGTATCCTTGTGGAATATCCCGGAAGACCCCACACACATCCCCTTCAATCGGGGTCTCTTCACTTGCCGTCCATATTCATGCCAGGTCGAGAATATTCAGTGTGTGTCGTCATCCAGTGCTCTTTGTTTGGTCAGGATTGTGGTTAGTTACAATAGTGTAGTTATTTTTTTACATTTAGTCGTAGGTAAAACCAAAGGGTGTGCCAAGAGCATGGAGAGATGCATGCTTCAAATTACACTCCGAGACAGGAGCACGTGGATTAGAGGACATACACAGGTAACTAACATCACAACCATTAAGGAGTACGTGGGTTTGGGCAGGATATGCTTCTAAAAGGAACGGTGGTTAAGAAAAATAATAACCGAGTAGCAGATTTGTGCCAGAAAGGTGCCATGTGTGTCAAGTAAAAATAAAATTAACATGACTTGTCAAGGAATGGTACGTTCGTGCAGGAGCTAGATGGATTGTTGCATCGTGGGACCAGAAGGGATGGTGTTGGCTTTGAGGGGCCTTGATCCAGCAGTGGCTTTATTATACCCGATGATGAGGACAATGTCCTCGGTGTACTGGACATGCAAGTGGGTACGATGTAGGTATGTGTGAGCATATAGCGTTTGTAAGGGGCGAGTCGGTGAGAGTGAGTGGAGGGTGGGGGTGTGAGTGGCTGTGTATATTGATATGAAATAACCCAGCATCTCATGGTGGTTTTTTAGGAAACTGTCCATGCAGAACCTCATGTCACGTGCTTCCATTCACGTGGTATAGTATGTACGTTTGTGTGTTGTTTATTGTTGTGGGGAGCGGTACCGTAATGCACTACAAACCCGACGATAATCGTTCGATTTCCATGCGACCAAGGCCGGTCACCCACCCTTTCGTGTGCCGTTCCGGCCTTCATAGGTGCTCGTGAGCTGCACATCCTTCGCCCGTCTGTTTCAGGCCTCTCCACATAAATACCACTCATCCCATCAGCCACACGACCTTCTGAGAGTGCATTTCTTCAGCGGCATTAATTCAACACAAGCAACACCCTGGGCAGGCTTTGACACTCGGTGTCTCATGAGCAGTAATGACTCGCTTGCACCAACACTGGTGGTCTGCCAGATGTTATTGGCAGGGACCCACTATTTGAGATGAGTCCAATTTCAGCACAGGACTTGGGTCTGGCCCTGCTGTCACTGCAGTGCACGGATACGTGGCGCCCTCTTGTGAGTGATTCTATGGCTACAGATCTTTGGGTGAAGCTGCCTTGGCAGCCGTGCACGAACGCAATAAATATAAAAACTCAACATATTCGTCAATAACCCAGTGGCATTGAAAGAACGCATACAGGCGACGTTTCGGGCATGGGCCCTTCTGTCCGAACCTGCAGCTCGCCACTTCATCAGCGAGGACGATGCCCCGAGTGGTTCCGGTAAAGGTGGTAATGGGACCTGACCCATTGAAGGATGGCTCCATATCGTTTTGGCTCGTCAGATTCACTTCTGCAGCCGTCTGGAATGTTCTTCCTTCCGATATTAGGAAGTCACTGGAGCTACGTATTTTTTTTAAAATCCAGATTGAAAATGAATTTTCTTTAGAACTGCTTTTTATGCTTAGTTTGTTGATCTTCCCCCACACCTCTGATGTACATGTACGGTGTGAAAGAAGTTCAACATACACACCAACAAGGACGCCCACTATATGACCTAACCAACATGGATACCCGCTTAATAACCTAGCCAAGATGGACGCCTGCTAAATAACTTAACCGACATGGACGATAGCTAAAGTGCTTAACCAACATGGACGATAACTGAATAACCTAATCAAGATGTGCGCCCCCTAAATAACCTAACCGAGATGGACATCCGTTATTTGACCTAACCAAGGTGGACGCCTGCTAAAAAACATAACCAAGATGGACGCCCGTTTTCGACCCAAGATGGATGCTCGCTAAATAACCGAATCAATATGGATGCCCGTTTGCCCGTTAGTTGCCCTAACCAAGATGGACGTCCGCTAAATAACCTAACCAAGATGGATGCCCGCCAAATTACCTAAGCAAGATGGACGGCCGCCGAATAACAACCATGATGGACGCCCACCAAATAACCTAACCAAGATGGACGCCCACTAAATAACCTAACCAAGATGGACGCCCGTTATTTGACCTAACCAAGGTGGACGCCCGCTAAATAACCTAACCAAGATGGACGCCCGCTAAATAACCTAACAAATATGGACGCCCGTTATTTGACCTAAGATGGACGCCCGTTATTTGACCTAACCAAGATGGATGCCCGCTAAATAACCTAACCAAGATGGATGCCCGCCAAATTACCTAACAAGATGGACGCACGCCAAATAACCTAAGATGGACGCCCGCCGCATAACATAACCAAGATGGATGCCCACCGAATAACCTAACCAAAATGGACACCCGCCAAATAACCTAACCAAGATGGGACACCCGCCAAATAACCTAACCAAGATGAACGCCCACTAAATAACCTAACCGAGATTAACGCCTTCCAAATAACCTAACCAAGATGGATGCCTGCTATATGACCTAAACAACATGGGGTTATGGATGGGGTTAGCGCAAGCGTTAGTGGTGAGGGGCTAGGGTTGGGGTTACAGTTTAGGGGTAGGGGAAAGTGTTAGGGGTTAGTGTTTAGGGTTAAGGGTAGGGTTTAGGTCGGGGTTAGAGGTTCGGGGGTTAGGGTTAGGGGGTTAGGGGTAGAGTTTAGGGGTAGGATTTAGGGTCAGGATTAGAGTTTAGGGTTATGGTTACAGTTAGGGTTAGTGGTAGGCTTAGGGGTAGGGTTTGGGGTTAAGGTTTAGGGTTAGGTGTTAGAGGTTAGGAGTTAGGGGTTAAGGGTCAAGGTTGGGGTTTAGGGTTAGGTGTTTGGTTTATGGGTTAGAGGTTATGAGTTAGGGCTAGGGGTTAGGAGTTAGGAGTTAGTGGTTGGGGTTAGGGTTAAGGTTTAGGATTAGGGACTAGGGTTAGGGGTTAGGAGTTAGGGTTAGTGGTTAGGGTTTGGGGTTATGGGTTAGGGTTAGTATGCTATGTATTATATTAAAAGTGGTACATTTGACGATGAAATGTTCACATCCCAAACAGAAAATCGGCAGACTAACCTAAAAAAGCAAATTGGCATACTTATCTATTGCCTGTTTTAACCAAAATGAGCCAAATTTTCACAGCTTTTCTTTTCAACAACAAGTTAATCCCTCCATTGTGTAATAAAGCACTTCCACGACGGGTTGAGATTTGCGTCTTTTATTAATAACTACTGGTCGGCTCCACACTCCCTTTCCGGATGGTCATCCTCCATCCCAGCGCGGCTCCCGCTCGCTCTCGCTCGCCGCTGGCTGGCGGTGCGCGGGCATAGAGTGGCTTCGCCGGCAGAGGTTGCCACGTGGCCGGTGGCGTGACGAGGTGGCAGAGATGCAGTCCTGACTCGAGGTTCCCACACCGACCCGAGTCCTCCCACTGCTGCCTCTCCTTATATCGCTCCCGGCGGAGCTAGGTTCTGCCTCTAGCCACGCCCCTCCTAGAACCTTCAGGACGCTTCCCGAACGTACCCACGAGCTCCGCCCATTATCTTTGGCCCAGATGGAACCCTGAGCTCTGATTGGCTATGAATAATGCAACAGTGCCTATGCAGCCCTTCGTCATTCCTTGGTGACGCTCTCTCATTACAATTGTATTTACCCATAGTATGCTGTGTATTACATTAAAAGTGGAAAATCTTAAGATTAAATGTTCACGTCCCAAACAGAAAATCGGCATACAAACCTATGCCGTTATCGGCATAAATTGGCCAGATGTTTATAGCTTTATTTTTCAACAAAAGTGCATTCCTCGGTTGTGTTTAGCCTTAGTATCCTATATATTACGTAAAAAAGTGGGAATTTTCATCAATGAAATTTTCGAGTATAAAAAGTTAATCGGCATACTGTGCCGATTTTAGCCAAAATAAGACAAATTGTCACAGCTATATTTTTCAACAAAAAGTTAATTCCTCCATTGTATTTACCCTTAGTATGCTATGTATTACATTAAAAGTGGAAAATTTGACGATGAAATGTTCACGTCTCAAAAAAAAAGAATCGGCATGCCCTTTTTGGCATAAATTGGCCAAATTTGTACAACTTTATTTTTGAACTAAAGTGCATTCCTCAGTTGTGTTTAGCTTTAGTATGCTATATATTACGTAAAGAAGTGGGACATTTCACCATGAAATTCTCAAGTCAAAGATAAGTGTTGCATAGTGGATAGTCCTACCGTGAAAACATTAAACAAGTTATGACATGTCACACGTGTAAAATATTTTTGGGATAGCCCGCACCTCCATATACCCCGCAGGGTCTTGTTTTGTTTGTAAAAAGTGGTATACCCCGCGGGTTATATGCGGGAAATTCCGGTACTCTGAATATATATATGAATTCATACTGCAGGAATCCGATGAGCTATAAAGCTCTTTTTATATATATGACAGATGTCCAGCAGGGGCACGGGCATCAGAATGTTACGGCAACAAACAATACAACAAAAACACGACAGAAGTGCAAAGTACAGGAGAGGTAAGCAAATCGCCAACAAAAAAAGGATACAAATAAAACCAAACTATTTTATTTGACCAGGTAAATTCCACTGAACTATGAGCGACCTGGCCACCAATAGAAGCTCAACGAAGCGGATTATCGCATGGAAATTTATAGCGGCCAAAGAATCTAAATAATCTTCAATGCACATCATCACCACCACCATCACCACGACCATCACAGAACTCTCCGCAGCAGCAGCAGTTACCGCCACAACCTCCTCCACTCTCCTCTCTACACTGAGAACCAGGACTACCGCTGAAGACAAACAGACAGAA